CCCTCCCCGTTTTTTCTTAAAATATATTGCATTGTTACTGGATATTTTGGCTGCATCGCCCTGCCTGTGCAAATCTAAAAACAGTGCAATAACACTAAGCGACTGGTTATACGAGAGCAATTGCAGAACCACATTCCAATGCATTTGTTTTACCATTTGTTCAGCGTACTAGTCACCGATAGCGGAGGACTTACATCCACTGCGTCTGCAAAGGTGATCATTGAAGCCGAGCGAGATGATCCTCCGAAGGCTCACATCAATGAATGCGGAAGCATGGATCATGTTGGTTCTTTGACTGTACGACTTCCACGAACAGAAATAAGCTTATGCGGAAATGCATCACAGGACGATAAGGTGAGTTTGTTGGAATGCTAGTTTTTTTGGATTCCATTTTTCTTTACAGGGTATCGTGTCCTACAACTGGTTCCGCGTAGATAAGCTGTCTGGAAAACTTTCTGTCGATCTTGCTGGTTAGTTGAATCCGAATTTATTTTTATTTTATCGATCTCCGTTCATTGTCGTGGTTTTCAGGATCAGCTACGAGCATATTAACACTGAGAAACATACAAGCTAATGAACGTTTTGGTCCGTACGAGTTTCAGCTGGATGTGACAGATACGAAAGGACAAAAGGACTCGGCGCGAATTAGCATATTTGTGAACGAAGCTGAAAATCTGCCTCCAGGTCAGTTATCTTAAATTTGCTTTCTTTTGTTTTTATTGATTTTTTTCAATTATTTTCAATAACGATTCAAAATTTCAACATGCTAAGATGCTCTTTATGTGTGACATTGATTTTGGGGGTAGAGAACATTAGGTCGCCATTAAGCTCCACCCGCGCGGACAGATAGCACGAGGTAGTAATGGTGAAGGCGCTGTTTTGTTGCAAATGTCCCCGTTGGAGCGCCCTTTTCGGCGACTTAATGTCCTCTACCCGATTTTGGTACCAGAAGTTATAATTCCAGTTGCTGACGCTGGCGGTAATCATACAATCTTTCTTCCCGAATCTTCCATCGTTCTGGATGGCAATGCTAAGGACGATGGTAGCATTGTTAGCTATCAGTGGACACAAGTCTCGTAAGTCTCTGAGTATTGATTAAATTTCTAGCAGTACTAGTCTCTTTTTTTAGTGGTCCAGCAAATGCATTGTTGGTGAACGCTGACAAAGCCAAAGCCACGGCATCAGGATTGATCGAGGGCCACTATGTGTTCATGCTCGTTGTGGTAGACGATGGAGGTTTGAAGGGCAACGCATCCGCGTTTATTAGCGTGGAAAGAAGTAAGTTTCACGTTTCTTTTGCTGTGGATTACTCAGAAAGGGCTGTTGTTCAGGTAAAAATGAACCTCCGGTCGCGAGAGCCTTCAATGTTACCGTACTACTGCCTACAGCTATAGCGATCTTGAACGCTTCACAGTCTAGCGATGATGCTGGAATCGTATCATACCTCTGGCAACCTCTTGATGATGTGCCAGCATCTATGGTTTGCCTTTTATCTTTTTTT